GTTGTCTTCTTTGCTTGTCATTATTCTAAATATTTGAAAAGTAAAACAATTACCCTAACAGTATTAACTCACCATTCATCATACTCACCAACTGATCAAAATTATGTACATTCATCACTTCACTAAAATTTCATCTGTGCATGATGCAGGATACATTTTAATCAACAAACAAATATTACACTTACGGTACCTCCAAGTCTCACCTGTGTATTTATTACCAAATTAAATTTCTACTATTTACATAAAGCCCATCCAATAATTTACGACAGTTCCTTCCTTTTTTAAAACTTTGCCACTTTCATTTTAACATACACTTTTAAAAAAGCATGGTTTTTATCCAACATTTACAACTATGCAGCAGTTGCTTTAAAGCATTAAAAAATTGCATCTCCAGGTCTTTTGCCAATAAAATAACATGCTTTGCATTATGTGATGGGTCAATGTTGATGCAATAGCCCTTCACCCCTCCAATAATAGCATCGTCTTCCAAAAATTTACTTGCCGGTCTATCAACACCTGAAAATTAAAAGTGCATCCCTGTGAAAATTTACCATTTACAGTAGTCAGTATATCATAGTTTTTGATGAAATGGGTGGTGGAGAATTATCATAATATATTATTTTTTATATATAGTTAATCAGTAAAGAATATAATAAAAATGAAAATGCATAAATATTAAATTTAGTATTGACACACAAATTATCATAACCTAGGCCTAGCTACGGCTGCATAATTACAGGCCATAGTCAATCAGCAAGTAGTGTAGGCCTATGGTAGGCTCTACACTAGGCCTACTAACTTTTATTATTAATGAATTAGAGAATGTTAATATTGCCTAGGGCCTTAATTGTGTTCTGGTACTGGCCATCACGACAGGTACCAGTGGTAAGCTAAGGCCTAGTGTTCACTAAAACTAACATAGCTAGGCCTAGGCCTTTTTAATTAAATATCAAAGATCAAGAAGATCGTGTAGGCTCCTCCTTAGTCCGATCCTTGGCTATTCCCAGATCTACTCCCGGTCTAGGTCTACCTAGGCTGCAACCTGCCCTGTAGGCTAAAAATAATACACTTGTACACTCTCTTCGAAACACACATGCCAATTAAAACATCGCCATTTAATTGGTTTTCTATTTTTCATGTTGCCTCCAGTTCCTATAGGCCTAATTAGGGCCTAGGCCTAAATCGATATTTCAATCACGACGATCTCGCTCGCGATACGTTGCTATGTTATCGACGCATGCGCGTTTGCCGATTTCAGCTTATCTCGTTGTCAAGTAGGTTACGTAACGGTGAGATAATTACGATCGCGGCGAGGAGGTCTGTACCTTTGATCTTCGCTCGATGTTACTCCTTCTGTTCTATTTTCTCTATGGTAGCACTAATATAATGATCTTTTAAATGTTGTCCTGTGTTACATTTACTGTGCATAATCATTTCTTATTTAAAATAGAATTATTTAATCAATCAGTAACTTGTGTTTTTTTTAATGAAATTAATGATTTTCTTTAAAAAGATGCTACCCAAGGCGAGACTTTTTTTTATACCTTGTTTGACTCGCTGACTATTGTACATTTTACTGTACTGTTTTTCCGTTTTAAAATGTTTGTGCTCGTTAGCAATTTAGATTTATTGTTGATGTTATCCATGACAGTAATACGTACCGCGAAATGCCAGGCCTCTGAATGTCCACATCGTTGGTATTTGCCACGTTATTGGAAATTTTTATTTCAAATTTCACGAAAATGGTTTACAACATTCCCTGCAAGTTCGTCGTTCAAAACTGGTGCCGAATCAATGTTTTAGAGCCTCCCATCAGAGCCATTAATAATAATACTAATATTAATAATTGGCCGCAAATATAGTAATAATATCTAATAATATTAATAATTTAAAAAAATACTTAGACCTACTCCCAGAGCTACTTATAAGAGATAAAAACTAATTTATTTTAGTTCTCAAATATGCATATTCTTTATGTTGATTTATTAATTAAATTTTTGCTACAAGGTATTTTACAACATTTATTTATTTATTTTTTTTTTCTTGAATTTTATAATTGAGGGCCATTTTTTATTTCTTGATTCAATTCTTGCTTATACAGTATTTAAATATTTGAAGATTAAAAAAAAAATATATCATTTCTATTACCGAATTTTTCATTGGGGCCATTTTTACCTACCTGTCATATTGGGCCATTTTTACTGGGGCCATTTTTTCCGGGGCCATTTTTTCCGGGGCCATTTTTTCTGGGGCCATTTTTTCCGGGGCCATTCTTACCTACATTCCCTATAAAGGCCTAGGCCTAACCCTAAAAATTATTTTAAAAATCATATGGATTTTACAATAATAAATAAGTGAGAACACGGCCCAATTTACCACCCTCCAATACTTAAATTATAGGGCAGACTGAGCTTAGCCCTCCTTAGAATATCGTCAGTTCTGTCTTTTCTTAATAATAGGCCTAGGTCATAGCATGCTTGTTATCCCCTAGCTAGGCTCCTATGCCTATAGATCCAATCTAATCCAAACCAATCCAATTTTTGACTTAAAAGGCGCATTATACTAAGCCTAATGCGCCAATTTAATTAAATGAATAATAATAGAAAAACAATTCTTACCTATTAGTACTGCTGAAATACTTCAGAAAATATGGTTAAACTGCCTGTTTCATCATCATGAATGTGCACTGAAAAAGAGCTCTAAAACCACTAACAAATTTCAGTTAATTGATAACATTCAAAAGCACCTTGTTAATTTCCATGGCCTTCAGTGATAAACATGGATACAGTGACCAATCAAATTAAGTAATTTGAGATTATCTGTGGTTGGCTGAACAGATTAAATGACAAACACATGTTGTTAGCTTGTTAAACTTGTGTTTTAAGGTTGTATGTTTTATTATACACCATGATTTTGTATAGGCCTAGACTTTGGCTATGTAATGTTAATTATACTGCCGGGACTTTCATAATATAATTTTTTTTTTTTTAAATTATTTCAGCAGAATAGGGAAGCAGGGAAAATCTCCCAAAAATATGACAATTTAGAGGTTTCAAAGGCTTAGAAAGTACCCTTACAGAAAAAATCTATAGAACTATATAGACCTTCTATAGAGATTAATCAATTTCTATAGAAATTATATTCTATAAAATTGTTTTATAGAGGTACTAGTTTCTATAGAATTCTATAACATTCTATATACACATATTTAATGTAATTTCTATGATCTTAACTTTTTTTTTGTTTCATTCAATTCAATTTTATTTATTGACACATTTCGTGTCAGAGCAGTATAGTCCTATCAACATGTTTACATCTTGCATATTCAGAAATTCTATAGAATATTCTATACAAACGATATGACAAGTTCTCTATAATAAAACTAACTATATAATTTCTATATTTATTCTATAAAAAAATTATAGGCCTTTACCTGTATTTTTTTTAACGTACTATAAAACTTTTATAGGGATTAGGCCTATCTCTATAGGAACATATAAAACCTCTATAGAGTATAACACATATGAAATTTGAAAATAAATATATTTTATATAGTATATTCTGTAGAACTATATAATATTCTAAACCAAGAGTCATTTTAAAAACTGTAACTTTTAATAGTCTATAGAAAATATATATAACGAATCAACAGACGTTTACCATATAACTTTAACACAAAATTTATTGACAAAAAGGATCGACGTTTCGTGTCCATCATGGACGCATTCTCAAGATCAAGTGAACAAAAATAAATATAAGATAGTAAACCAAGTGTAGGTGACATGAAAAGGATTAACAGTCACATGATTAAAAACTAATACAATAGCACAGTATCATGGAGCTGAAAAAAAATT